GTGTTTGATGTCTGGTGTCTTCCCTGTATGCTGCGAATAAGCCAGTGGAGTTCCTTTCCTGGGTCCATACTTCCATCGCGGAGAATTTGGATATGATTTTATGCGCATTTATAATGCACTTCTGGTGAGTGCATTCATACAGCAATCCCTTAGCACGGAGTCAATTGCACGGATATTTAATGGACAGGGGCGGACTGACCATTTGGAAACTCGGGCACTGCCCGAGGGCCCGGGGTCAGTAGGGTGCCCCATGAGATGCCCCTGGTACCTTTTTCATAGGCTTTTTTGAGTTTGGGCAAGGACACAGGGGCCCCATGATCCCCTATTGCCCGGGGGCACCATGAGTTGTCAGTCTGCCCCTGTTCATGGAATATACTGGACTTTGTTCATTAATATTTACCTTGCATTATACCATATTCATGCTGGACTATTCACTATTGTCACCTTTATATATTTATATATGTCACTACCATCCTCGCTATTGCTTGGCGAGACACTTTATTGCATAGTGGTCACTTACTCTGTATAGCCACTTTCATTTATTGATCATATCATATAGCACTGCATCTTACATTTGAGCTTCTATAGTCAGCTTGTTCAAATAAGTTTTGACAAAACAACCTGGAAGTTTATTGGTTGCTATGCAGATTTGCACTAGATTTTGCACTCTCCAGTTTTAGTAAATATATCCCAGACAGTTTTAGTCATTCTACTCTATTCAGTATTAATGGAAACATTTTGTCTTTACATAACTTTAAAGTACATTTAAACCCTAACTAAATCTGATCTATGTTTTTAACCACTTGCTAACCGCGCTATAGCCAAATGACGGCTACAGTACGGTTGTCCAGTTCTTGGACAATGTCATATGACGTCCTTCCGGAACGCGCCCTCCCACGCATCCCCAGTGGTGCACACAGGGCGATCTCCGTAATCGCTGTGTCCTACAAACACAGCTGATCACGTGATGAGGTAAAAGGCCAACAGCAGCCTTTTACCACGTGATCAGCTGTGTCCAATGACACAGCAGATCACGGAGTAAATACAGTTGCCAGCTATCGGCAGCACTTTCATCACGCTGTCATAGCGTGAGGAAACTACTGCCGATGACCGGCAGCTGTCACAGAGCAGATCGGCTGGCCATCTAGGCATCAATGACTTCAGCATACAAAAGGGTTAGGAAAAAATGGTTTGCATTTGAGATAAAGTTCCTTTTTACATTCTCAGGGGATGAAAATCAGTTCAGAAGAGGGTATGCTGGTTTTTCCAGACAAGCAAAGCAAACCTTCTCCATGAAATCAAAATGTAAATTAAAACATTTAATTCTAAATCGTTTCAAACTGTTTCACAAATGTATATAAAAAAGAAAAAACACGAAAGCCTATTTACTCAAGCTCTGACGTTCTGGTCTTTGCTACATAATTTCTACTGCTTGGCTGCCAGGTGTTGAAAGGAAAAGTATACTGAAAAATGTTCCTGCATGAAATATCTGGAACAAAGAAAGATATATGATTTAAAAGTTTATGAGAAAATTGGGGTTTAAAACTGTCTTCTGTTTCAGTGTTTATCTATATGAATCTGAGCCAACCTAGTCCTCTGTACAATTATAGAAAACCCTTCCACAGCATGTCACAAACAGTATATCCTACATATATTTGAGGATAGAGAAATAAGGCAGGAAAAGGGACAGGAACTGGAGACATGCCAAAGTAGAAGGTGCTAATTACTGTCATTGACTGAGAACATATAATTTTACCTTGGTCGCTTGCCACATAAACTCCTTCCACAAAACCATAGGACTACTTTTGCCAAAATATAGTACTTATTATTGTACTTTCAGTAAATGTAGATCACCTATTAAAGAAGGTTTTTGCAGCCAAAGACATGTGAATGAAATCTAGGAAACTCAAATCTGATACAGATGTGACAGGAACTACCTGTCAGAACACAAAGTGCACAAAGTTTACTGGCTAAATACATTCGTTGGTGAGCCACCTGCAACATTAGGAGATCACATTTCTTAGCTTTAGGAGAAAAAAAATGTAAAAATTAAATTGTGGCATTTTATCAAGTTCCTTCCTGGATTTGTATATATTTCCCCACTTAAAACAATTGTTAGATTGAAAAAAAGGATTTTTGACTCAAAATCCCATTCTTGGAGTACATAGAAATGGCACAGGATGAAGTATTTAGGTACACTGAGTTATTCTGCTGCCTTCAGGAGACTGGACACTGGCAAACAAAGCTATGAGGACTGCCCAGTGTACCTCCTCGCACTCCCAGCATGTCTTAGTTTTGAGGCAAGCACTAGTAAGATCATAAGGACAGAGAGGAGGGTCCTGTGTTCCTAAAGTGTTAATAAACCCACAACAGTAAAGTCAGTCTGTATATGCAGTAAGGCATGCTTGTTATATTCACTGTGGAACTTAAGGGGTTAATCCTCTAAATTGTCTTCCATGATCCTCCCCTTCTTCCATGTTCCCCATTTCATCTCCTCAGAGAACAGAGCTTCGGGGATACTCTGCACAGGCTCACTTTGATGTGAACTGCTAGAGATCATTTTCTTTTTCTTGGGAGGGTGCATGTGATCAGTACAGGGCCAATCAGTGCTGTCCAGACAGAGGGTCAGGGGTTATGCAATCTCAAAGGGCAGTGAGAGTAGAATGAAAGCTCCTCCTACAAGCTTTGACCAGTGCTCAGCTGGACACTGATGGAAGTCAGAAGACTGCTCTAACTGCTGATGAGAAAAGGTATCTTGCACTTTATATTTACTAAAATAATTGCATTTCCATGTTCTGTGTACTGTGGGAGACCAGATATAGTGAATACAGGGTTCTGGGTTTAGTAACACTTTAATGTACTCCAAAGATAGGATTTTTTTTAGTAAGTCAAAAATTCTATTTTCCTATTTGTACACTAATGTAAACCCACAACTGTAAAATCAGTCTGCATATACAGTAAAGCATGCTTGTTATACTCACTGTGGAACCTAAGGTGTTAATCCTCTGCATTGTGTAAAAATGCTGTTTGATCCTGACTTCTCTGATCCTCCCTTTCTTCCAGTGTCCTCCTTATCTCCTGATAAGACATATCATGTGGAGTCACCCTGCACATGCTCAATTTGGTGTGTATTGCTAGAAAGGTTTTTTATTTTTTCTTGGGAGACTGCATGCAGTCAGCACAGGGCCAATAAGTGGTGTCCAGACAGAGGTCAGGGGTTCTGCATCCTCCTAGTGCAGAAAGAAAACTCCTCCTACAAGCTTTAACCAGTGCTCAGCTGGAAACTGATAGAAGACACAAGACTGCTATATACTGCTGATGAGAAAAGGTATTTACCAGTTTATATTCACTAAAATAATTGCATTTCCATGTAGTGTGTACTGTGGGAGAGCAGATATAGTGAATGCAGGGTCCTGGGTGTAGTAACCCAGGACTCTTCTCCCTCCTGACGCACGATCGGTGTTACTCTGTGTCTCCATGAGCATCCTTCCTGGCTTCACAGATTCCTGATGAGCCTGTTGTAATCCTTTTAAATGTGAGTGACCTTTACTTGAGTTTTATTAAGCTTTTTGACCTATTGCATTTAGAGGCAGATAGAGTGAATGCAGGGTCCTGGTTTAGTAACACTTTACTAAGATACACTGGGACATTCAAAAGCATTTTAACTGTGGTGTGGGGAACACAGCAAGCAAAAGGCTAACAGCCCACAAAACCAGGAGGATAACAAGGTGGCTCCAAGAGCCTACAGAGTGACATGAAGAATCTTACAACCAAAGCCGCATCAGATGAGTCCTAAATATCCACCTGGTAAAACCTATCAAATGTGTGAACCCCATTACATTTATTATAATAATAGCACATATAGCTCTTTATTATTTAATTTTATATTTGTTGTTTAACTTTTGAAGCTGACCGCATGCATATATGAGGCAGCTCAGTGTGTCGGCCTACAAATTGAGCAACCGCATGTATGCAGCCCTGTTGAAACTACATACTGTGCTGAGAGCCTGCCTTCGTCTCCCAGCTTTTAGAACCCTTAAAGGGGCGGGAGGTGGTCGACGCCAAGGGGTTAAGATTTGAGGTAGTAGCTTCATTATTTATTTTATTTATTTGTTTTTTTGAGTGGGCAGTCTGTAATTAATTTTATTATTCTTTGCCATCACAGGTTATGTCCACTTTATAGGAATCCCTCTTCCATATGGTATTGCTGGGCAAACAGTTTTGGAGAAGCAAAGAGTTTTTTCTGGGTTATGTTAGTCACTACACAAGACTGGTTGCATTAGGGAATGCACTTACATCAGCTTTAACAGGCTTAGGACTTTTTAGAGATTGGTAACTTTAGGTGTGGCTGATGAAGGTAGGCCCTGGGTATGTAAGCCACTTTTCAGCGAACCCAGATGTTACACCAAGTGTATCTAGGAATGCAGAGTCTAATGCAAAGACGTCACCTTATAGGCCTCTCAACAGTGTCCTAGTACTCTCTCCATGGATATGCAGAGCATCAGCCAATCCTGGAAGCTCCACAATAAAGCCCAGTAGCTATACAACAATGAAAGAATCTTGCTAAAAGATGTCTTGAGAAAAAGTGGAAAAGGTTTGCTTCTCTCACAGCAGTAAGAAGATGTCCTTTCTCCTAAGATCCAAAAAAAAAGGCATGCTGGGAGTGGGAGTACCAGTCTGTCCTTACAGCTGTGTTTGCCATTTTCCAATCTCCTGAAGGCAGCAGCATAATCCAATGTACCTGAATACTCAATCTGATGATCCATCATGTATGATTAGGAAAAAGGTGTTTCACTTTGTTGTGGTATATATGCAAGAGCATTTGCAGTTTATCATGACCACGTTTTTTTTTAGTACTCGGTGTTAAAATGCTCACCAATGGAATGAGCAGAAGGAAATAGGATTTTTTTTTATTTTCTAAGTCTTCCAACTTTTTACTAGTCAGTACATAAGGCTCATTAGAAGGTAAAAAAGTGAGATGAATTCATGTTCTTACTTACCAACACAAGACGAATATGTAGGATCTGGAACAAACCCTTGTTTGCAGGTGCACCTATAGCTTCCCAAAGTATTTAAACAGTCACCATTTGGACAAATACCCTGCATGTAGCATTCATTAATATCTGTGATTTAAAAAAAAAGAAGTGATACTGAATGTATATTCAATCATCACTGAACTTGTTAAACAAACTTAACCATTATAGAGAAAGGCAATGGAACAACAACATATTTACTGATCAATAAGTAACATAGGTTACAAATGTTAAGTATACACTCAGTTGACAATGCATAATTCACCCTAATAGGTTATGGGGTGCATGGCTCTTATGTTAAGGACTAAACAATACAAACATGTATACTAAATATTATGTGGCCATGAGAACCAATTCTTTAGAAGCAGTATACATTATAATATAATTATGTGTATTGCATCGTGTACGTTACAATTTTAGTCCAATTTATGAAGAGGAGCTATAGTCTGCCAGTTTCTAGTCAATACATTTGGCAGTACTATGTCAGACAGCTTCAATGTGTTGCATTTTAGAGAAGGACTAAAGTCATAAAGATGAAAAAAATGTTATTGGCCTTGGTCAATGTAAAACTCTTTCTAAAAAAAAAATATGAAACAAGTGTCCATGAAAGAAAGTGCAATTCATATTATATAAATGAAAACTGCACTTAAATGTTTCTTAACTGTGTGAAAAGCACCAAAGAACCACTTGGTAGCCATTCATATTACTTCCATTGGATGCTGCAAATTAGAGTGCTTATGAGTGGTTGAGACAACACAGTGACACCTTAATTGCTTCATCGTGTATGATCTAATTTGCTTATAATAGAAATATATATAGTGGGCATTCAGAGTTTTTCTTATCTTGGAATGGCAGAGTTAACTCCTGAACTTCAGAATCAGGAATGATGCTGACTGGGCTTATATGACGATTTTGATAAAAGCCCTGTCTGGCATATATTTACTGAGCCATATTTTTATTTCTGTTAAAAATCAGTTTACCCTTTTTTATATAACTTTTTCCTAAGCGTATACATTCACTACCAATGTCCAGCTATCTATCTATCTACAATAATGGACAAAATAAAGGTGAATAAAGCACCTGGACCAGATGGCTTAAACCCACTATGTTACTGGATTGGTGCAAGGCCAATAAGGTGCCTATATTTAAAAATATATCAAAGTATTTACTGAGTAACTACAGACTGATACTTGAGAGATCAATAAAAGACCGCATTGAAAAGTTGTCAAACAAATCTGATTTTCCTAAATGAGGAAGTAAGCATAAGCAAAGGAGTGGCTGTGATTTTGCAAAAATGTTTGACACCATTTCCCACACATGGCTAACGTGCAAGTTAAAGTTTACATGCTTAGAAAATTCAGTTTGTAAGCTACACCAGGTTATTTTAAAAACTATTGGAGGAGGTGAAAACATGGTCCACTGCATCATTGTCCTAGATGGGTAGAACTGTCTCAGTTAAAATGACAGCACTACCCAAACTTTTATACTATTTCAGGACTTTGCCTATCCATGTACCGGTGAAGGCAAGGATATTTACCTATATCTGGGATCCCGAGGGTTGTAGATTAGCCCAATGCACACTCTAGGCTACTAAGGACTTAGTTGGATTGGTGGTGCCTGATATTAGGAAGTACTACATAGCGGCCCAAGTGTCCCAATTATTCCAGCATCATTCATTATAAACCAGACTGGGTTTCCATAGAGGCTCAAGCTTGCACCCCTCTCCCAATTGATTTCATTTTGTGGGTTTCCCCAAAACACTGTAAAGGCATATCTTAGCCCCACACTATCCCACTCTTTGAGTTTGTGGGATATCTCTAGTCGGAGGTGGCCACTCTGTTCCCCTCACGTACCAGTGGCACCATTGTTTACTAATCCTTTGTTCCTACCTGGCCTCCAAACTTGTCTCTTCCAATGGTAGGTAACTAAAGGCATATATCATATAAGACACTTTCAAGAGCTTGTGGTGATACCTCACATGTGTACTGCAATCACCGTTTACATATTGTGACAGTAGGCAGGTGAAATCACCTGGTTGTTGCATCCTGGATGGACGATACATTTGTCCAAGGTTCAAACTCGATGGGGATATGTTCCACTAGAGGGAAGTGCTGAGTCCTTCAGCACTGAGGTAATGAGCCCAGCTGAAGGTAGTGGGCTCATTGAGGCCATTATAAAACTTCCCAGCTTGCTTAGGGAGTTGCTCCAACCTGGAACCAGATCTATGCCTGAACTGACTGGGGAGCAAACATCTTATCTGTGTGCAGGGAGACAAAAGCCTGTGTGGCTAGCCTCCAACTACTAGCAACTAGGTATAGCATCAGGCTGTACCTAGTGGGTAGCTAGGGAAAGCTGTTGGTACAGTAAGCAGCCAAGTTGGCCAGGATTTAATTTGATGTTTCTTTTTGGTTTGACATTTTTTGTACATATTGTAAACAAACTGCACCTTTTTGTTTTTTCACCTTCACTGTTGTGCTGTGCCTGTCTTTTTGTGTTGTGCACCCATCCAGGGGGTCACACACACCCACTGCCGAGCTAACCCCGTTACAATATGCATGCATGTTTGTGCTTGTGCAATAGCCAACTGGTAGCAGGTGAGGATCAGATGGCTGGAGGAGGCCAAAATTACTGTAGGCAGGCATCAGAAACAGATTGAAGACTGAACCTTTAAAAGGCTCTTAGCAAGCATGAACAACAGTGTGAAGATGCTTCAATGATGCTGCATAGCAGGAAAGAGAGAATGAAGCGTGCATCTGACAATTCACTTAGTGGATTTATTATTATTATACAGTATTTATAAAGCGCCGATAGTTCGCTCAGCGCTGTACATTACAAAGGGGGACAGAACATGTGACAGAACAATAACAATACAATGCAAAACATGAGGGGATGAGGGCCCTGCTCTTTCGAGCTTACAATCTAGGAGGGAGGGGATGGTGGCACAGGAGGAGATAGCTGTGGGGGATGGAGTGGTAGGAAGAGTGGAGGAGGTCGGCAAGTTAGCATGGGGTGGGGTAGGCTTCCCTGAAGAGATGGGTTTTCAGGGTGCGCCTAAAGGAGAGGAGAGTAGGTGATAATCTGATGGGTTGGGGCAGGGAGTTCCAGAGGATGGGTGACACCCTGGAGAAGTCCTGGAGGCGGGCATGGGAGGAGGAGACCAGGGAACTAGAGAGAAGGAGGTCTTGTGAGAAGCGGAGTGTGCGTGCTGGGTGGTACTTGGATATTAGGTCAGTGGTGTAGTTTGGGGCAGTGTGGTGGACGGCTTTGTACGTCAGTGTTATGATTTTGAATTTGATCCGTTGCGCAATCGGAAGCCAGTGGAGGGATTGGCAGAGGGGGGTGGCGGAGATGGAGCGGTTGGAAAGGTGAATGAGTCTGGCTGCCGTATTCAGGATCGACTGAAGTGGGGATAGCCAGCGGCGAGGCAGGCCAGTAAGGAGGGAGTTGCAGTAGTCGAGTCGTGATATGATGAGGGAGTGGATGAGCTGTTTAGTGGTTTCTGGGGTTAGGAACGTGCGTATTTTGGCGATGTTGCGGAGGTGGAGTCTGCATGAGCTTGTTAAAGATTGGACTTGGGGCTGGAAGGATAGGTTGGAGTCCAGAATGACACCAAGTACTCTGGCCTGCGGGGCGGGTTTGATGGTGGCGTTGTTGGACATGATGGAGAAGTCAATGGTGGGTGGTGTCCGGGCTGGGGGGAAGACAAGAAACTCGGTCTTGGAGAGGTTCAGTTTAAGGAAGTGGAGCGACATCCAGTCAGATATGTCGCTCAGTAGGTGTGTGATTCGGGCAGAGACTGAGGGGGTGAGGTGGGGGGTTGAGAGATAGATTTTGTGTGTCGTCGGCATATAGGTGGTAGTTGAAGCCGTGAGAGTGTATGAGTTGGCCAAGGGAGGAGTGTAGATGGAGAAGAGAAGGGGCCCGAGGACAGAGCCTTGAGGGACCCCAACAGAGAGGGGGAGTGAGGGGGAGGTGGTAGCATTATAGGTAACGCTGAAAGAGCGTTGTGACAGGTAGGATGAGAGCCAGGAGAGAGCAGAATCTCTGAGGCCGAGGGAGTGTAGTTTTTTGAGGAGGAGGGGGTGGTCGACTGTGTCGAAGGCCGCAGAGAGGTCAAGGAGTAGGAGCACTGAATAGTGGCCATGAGCTTTGGCGGATTAAGTCAGTACTTGATTCCAAAGTTAACCCCTTCTGCAGCAAAATCGATGGGCACAGGTATTAAAGGTGGCAAGTGACCTTAAGAACTGAGGTATCTCCTAGTGCATGACCCAACCAATCTACTCACTGAATGAGTCTTCAGAGACAGGGCAAGTGCTAAGGTTAAGGGGTTATCCTGGGCTTTGCCAATGTCCAATCTACATGCAGACAGCTGTATAGGCAGAAGGTTAAACACTTTATGTGATAAGAAATTGGGTGATATGCAAACTACAATAGTAAATTATTACATGAATTATTATATTAATTTACCAAAACGGTTGTAATTTTAAAACTGGGCTGTCATAGAATGAAGAAAAGTAATCTTGACATGAGCACTCATTCACATGGGCAGTAAATGAAAACACTAACCAAGCCAAGCATGCCTTTAGCCATGCAGTTTGGCACAGCTTGAGTAAAAAAAGGTGGTCTATGTCCTGACGGAACAAGCAGGGATTTGAATGTGGCTGCCAAATTTATGGCTGCCAAATTTACTCTCCTGGAGACATCTGTGGGCCTCAGACTTGCAGGGTCAAAGTGATCAAGTTGAAAAAAGGGGAAATTCCTGGATTAACTCAGCAGTGTATTCATGAAAGATGAAACTGGCTGGAATGACTCACATACAATAGCAAAGTATGCCGGTAATGAACTGCAGTATTACATCATGTAAATGATAAATAACTCACAAAGAATAAGGCTACACTGGATATATGTTTTAAGGGAATATGAATCTGCAAAAACTCTATACTGTAAAACATATGTTTGTAAGTGTGCTAATTTTATCATGAAAATAAAACGTATGTCTAGATTATAGAGCTACTTTATAAAAGGACAATTGCTGTTGTTTCTATTCTTTTTGCAAAAACATAGCAGTATGCATTTTGTGAAAGAACCAC